TAAGAACTTTAAAATACGATAATGTATAATAAATTATTTAATACTACTGCATATATATATAAATATATATATATATATAAACACAAAGTATCATTTTATATACATCATAAATTAACATAATTCACAAGATAAATGATAAGCCAAATTGAATAACGTATCAGAGTAATCAGATTATTCGGAAGTTTAATTTTCATTTGAAAAGTTTTTGGATTCGTACATTTGATACTAAACAAGTATCAATAAACCTTATTCTAAAGTTTTTTTTATAAGGCAATGATACTCTAGTACGAAATTGTATGTAGCTGATAGTGAAAAATAATAACAATTAACATAAAAGAGTATTAAAAAAAGTACACATATTTAAATTAATATGTAATAAAGGTTTTTTAAAATGTCCTCTTGTACATATATTAATATTTAATATATTAAATAAAATCATTTTTTTTTAAATAAAACTATCGATAATGTCTTGATTGAAATATTTAAAAAAAGTATATTTACATATCCTCCGAATCAATGAAAATTATTTTATTGCTATACTTCAAGGCACTCAGCTGTAACTAATTATAATTACGAAAATTCAAAATCTACAAGAGGTTTTACAAGCACAATAAAATTACTATATTTGTCCACGTGAAAATCTATCATTCAACATTCCTGCTTTCATTAAAACAGATCTTTTTTGCGAAGGATCCATAAATCGATTAACTTGTAAATCAATATTGCGATCGAATGGCCTTCTAGTTGGTAATCCAGCGGCTTTTGCTTCCTTTTCTTCCTTCTAGAAAATATTTTGAAAAATAAAATAAATAATTTGTATAATCACAAGAGTTAATAGTGTTTTAAGTATAAATATAGATATTAAAAATACCTTTTTTCTCTTTTTAAGTTTACTTTGGTGTATTTCCAGCAAAGATTTTTCTTGCTTTTTAGTCTTCTTTGGCTTTTCCTTAAGTAACTCGATGCTATCTGGTTTCTTTACACTGCGTAATGCTGCTGCTTCTTCTTCTGCCTAATAAAATCAAAATATTTAGTTGTAAAAATGTGTTCGTATTAAAATATCTGTCATATTATTTAATCGATATACCTTTCGTTTTTTAACCTTATCCTCTGGAGTATCGGTCCAACAAGATCTGTCAGACATGTCTGGTCCAGGTCTAAGTCGAAATTTTCGCGCACGTAATCCAAAATCAGCTGCTCGAGTTGGAGGTAATTCCATCATCCACGTTTCACGTTTATGTACTACATCCTTGGCAACCTTGAAAAATGATTATTTTTAACATTATACATATATTGATTCCGTAATAGTTGCAATGCAATATTTGATCCTTACTTCTTGTTTAATTTCATGAAAATAATGTAATCCAGGAGTTTGTAATTCCTGGTATTTTTGGCCAGTATTTGTTGCACCATAATCGGTTAAAGAGGGCGTATCTGAATCCTCATCTTCTAATTGTGAATACATAGCCATACGTTCTTCCTCATTAAGTAGTTTTAGGTTTTCTGGTATTACAGGTCCTATCAATTTACTTTTTGTGTCTCCTTCATTTGGTTGTTTTATTAAATGAGGTGGCAATGCTGGTCCAAAAGCAGTAGCGTCATCCACAAATTCATTAATATTTTTCGATGCACTGTGAGATTCTTGATGTTCCTGATTTACTTCTTCCAAATTTAAAGCACTCATTGTATTTGAATTTTCATGATTATTTGACGAATCTTCCATTTTTGGCAAACAAGGTCCAATCAATGCAATTTTATAATCTTCTTCACTAATATCTTTGACGATACATTCTTTAGTTTCAAGTTTTTCAGTAGATAAGGATGTATACAGATTTGTACTTTTGTTTTCATTTAATGTACATTGAGATGTTTTAATCTGCGGTGGTAACACTGGTCCATATATAAAACTATTATTTTTTTCACTAGACTCACTGTGATACTTAAACGTATCACATTTTGCATCTTTTTCTTGTAATGATTGCACCTGATTGTTCATTATAGATGTTGGTTCTAAAGAATCTAATAAAGTATCTGAAATGACACTAGGATTATTATTACTTGAACTTAACAGTGGTGTATTGTTCTTGCAATTTACCTTTTGTAGTTCTTCCACGTGTTCCTGATCAGGTGCTACTTGTTTTTTATTTACACATTCATATTGATTTTTTAACTGTTCTCTTCTTACTTTAGTCTTATGACAATAAGAAGATGAATACAAACTTCTAGAATCTGAAATATCAGATATGTTTTCATCTGTTTCTGATAGAACATTGAAATCACGTAAATCTAAATCTTTACAATCTTGTGTATCTAATGGAGTAGTTGCTTTGCAAACTTTATTCAATGACATTGAATGAGATTCATTACAATCATGAATCTGTTCAATATTTTCATACGCACTATGTTCATTTTCTAAAGGATGCAGTCGTTTATTTTTGGTCTTTTTAATTGAATCATATCTTCCATGTTCATTTCGAGATTTGTCATTATCCAATAATTTTAATCGATTCGAGTGACATGATCTATCCCGACTTTTATGTCGAGAATATTTATGTCTATCGTGATATTTGCTTCTATATCTGTCTACAGATGATCTATCATCGTAACTTCTATCACGAGAATGTTCTCGAGAGTTTCTACGATGACCATTACGTTCTCTTTCTCTAGAGTGCTTCAAATCTCGTAATCTATCTTTTGAGTCCATAGAATATTTTAGATTTTTATCAACTGATGTAGAATCACTTTCTTTTGTGCTTTTATAATCTTTATGTGTTCCGTATTTTGCATGTTTGGTAATATGTCTAGATTCTTTTTCATCAATGTCTCGTTCTCTTGAATGTTGAGACTCTTTTCTACTAGTTTCATGCTTAGATCTTTCTTTTCTATCGCGATAATTTTTATCCTCTAAATGAGATCTGTGTTTTGATTTCTTCCTATGCGATTTCTCTTTACTCACAGTGTCTGGGATTATAGCTGCATCCTTGCGAGTAGCTTCAAAGCGGAATCGACGCCCATCATCACTATCCTGGCTTTCAGAATCCGTATCCATCGATGTCATAGCTTAATTATTTTCTGGAAATACGACAAATTTATAAGTAAAATATTTAATAAATATAATGTACGTTACATGCGAAAAATTATTGTATATTCTGATTTATATGTGAAGATTCATACAGTATTCTTTTGACATTCAAAAATATTTATAAAATTAAAGAAAAGGAAAAAAAATAGAGAGAAACAAAAAATAAGAAACACTTGATTAAAGCAATTACATAAGATATTAAAACATAGAATTTCAGGGATTAAGTAATAGCTAGAAACAAGAGTTATAAATGCAATAGTACTAGATCATTTTATTGATTAAATAGAAGCTAGAAAATTGTACATGTGGTGATAGATTGAAAATACAACTAGAAGAGATGTAATTACTACTCTAGGCGCTTGTCAGTGTCCTTAGCCTCTGTTTGCTTCTTCACAACAGTTTCGACTAGATTGCTAATTTTATCTGATTTAGATTCAGAAGGAATATTCGTCTGTAAGTTTGATTGTAACATCTTCTTGATTTTTGCATTACTATACATAACCGATTTTATAAATCCAGCTGTAAAAATTCCCTTTAAACTTTGTGTAACGCTAGATCTCCAGACAATTTCTTTTAAAGATCTTTTCAATATTTCACTGCACTCAGGATCATATGCGATAGAATGTAAACAGTCTTCCATATCCTTTGATCTTGAACCTACGGACCATGCTTTTACCAACTTAATTTGAGGCGTTAGAGGTAATTGATTTAAATGATATATTCTAGTAATTGGATTTGTATCTTGGTGACACATTACTGTCGGTTGTTCAGATTTAGGAAAATCTATAAATTGCTCGTAATGTTGTAAAATTGGTGCATACAATTCTTGGAAACTTTGTAATTGCGGGACTACAATATTGTGTATTTTATCTTTATTTTCTCCAAAAATCATACGAAAATCACCACTGTAAGATAATCCAGCGATTACTTTATAAAAATTTATTTTGGTAAAATGCTCAGGAAGTAACAAAAACGCTGCACGAACAGCTGAATGTAAATTTTCTACGAGAGCCATACGTATCGGAGAATTTTCGGCTGGTTCTATCAGAACTTCTACGGGCTTATGTAATCTTCCTGCTACATATAAATTGTTCCAATCTATTAAATCTTCTATCAGAGAAATATCAGACATTATTCCATATTTAATAGTTTGTCCTGCTTTTGTTTTTACCAAGGTATTGTAATAAATTTTTGCACCCCAATTTTCTTGTATAGTGGTAATAAATTTGTGTCCAAGATATCTCATTGGTAAAAAATAATGTTTTGGATTAAGTTTTAAATTTTCTGCATGCCATTTGTTTGGGTTTTTTACAACAAATATAAGGTCCAACATTTTATCATCATGATTATTTAACTGTCTAAATGCACCAGATCCATATGCAAAACAGAATTTTATACTTTTTGGAAATTCATTAAGAATCATTTTCAAATGAGACAATTCATATATTTTCTTTAGCATTTTGATGATTAAAATACTAACTAAAGTGTACTAAAATCTCTTACGTATTTCTCTTGTAGTTGCACAAATTATTTTTTCATATAATAATTATACTTCATTGATCTTGTTTTTTTCTTTTTTTTTTATAAATATTGGAAATATCATCTATATTTTAAGATACTAAAGATCTGATATTTAAGACCTAACAGGGTCAATGTTAGCATAAATCATAGGAACGTGTAGTAATTTTTTCGAAGTCAATAAAATATACTGTTGGACAATACTTTAAGTAATTGGCACCTGTTTGTCGGGATAATTCTTCACTAATAGTATCTCCCAACGCCGTCCGCACGGATGAACAAAAGATAAACGAGATTTATCACTATCTGCGCCCCTTTTCAACGACGGTTTATTCACCACCTAACCTATAAATTTAAGTAATAAAATATCTATAAGATTATAAGAGATATATATTTCACAAAAAAATTATTTAAATCAATGCAAATGAAGTTAGCATAGATGGGAATAAAAAACATACTTCAAATAAATATTAGTTGTTCTAATGTATTGCACATATGCGTGTCGTAAACTTAAAAAGTTATACAAATTATTCCAAACATTTTTTTCTACCGTTACACGAATAATAAAAAAAATGTACTAATTTAATAGCATTGCATGAACAATTCTGAATCTGAATCAACACTTCATAAGAAACACTGCACATGCAAAATTTAGATAATAAATACTGTGAATCTTTTAAGAGATTAGATGAGAAATAACCAAAGAAACGCATACACGTAAATGCATGCGTAAGAATAAACTTTCGATTAACTTCTATATTTTCATAGCAGCTGACGCTACTGTCGTTTTCTATATGGGGGAACCAGAACGGTGGACAAAAGGTTATCGGGAGAGTTTCTATTTACTTTCTACATTTCCCAACGAGAAAATATGAATTTTATTATAACTATTAACAGAACACTCTTGGACGCCATATATATATATAACTTATTTCTCTTGAACGTTAAATTATTATTTTAAATCTTTACTCGCGCGGGTGGTTACTATATAGAGAAAAAAGACGCTAGTGTACCACATCTGTACGCAACAGCACAAAAAAAAAAGGCATAGAACCACAACAGCAGAATAAATTGAATAAGTGCTCCTAATTGCTCAATAATTGCTCAATAAAATCAAAACTTGCTTACATTATTAATTAATTATTTTATTAGTTATTAATAATTGAAAAATCAAGAACGTTTTTTTTCCATTTCTAAGCAAAGCAATGAAGTTTTCTATTGTTTTTTGTTTTCAATCAATTGCTCACTTTTTGTATATCCGGCTCCACAACTTTATTTTATTAAATATTTTTTATTTATCGTTAATTAGTTGAAACTAATAATTACACTTTGAATAATTATGAAATGGTGACGTCATAAGTGGCCAAAATGTTATACGCATGTGCATGAAACAATTCAAGCCGCAAGCGCACTTTGTAAAAAATGAAAGTAAAGTTGGTATATCTGCAGGGGATATATTTAAACCCTAATTTTTCCACATACTCATATTTTTTATATTTATTTAAAGAGAAAAGCAGAAAATCAGCAACTGTAGTATATCCTACCAAATGATCTTGTAAGCAACCAATCAAAGCTAATTTGAGACCGCAATTTATATTATTTACGTGAGGTGCTAAAATACCTGGAGTGTCCAATAAAAAGAAATCTGGATTTTCAGATATTTTTATATGAGTTAGTACGGACCGTGTTACTCCTGCTATAGGTCCTTCTTGTGTAGCTTTTGCTTTTTTTAAATGAGTATTTCTTAAACGATTGATTAAAGAAGATTTTCCTACATTAGGTATACCGATGATCATCATCGCAAAAGACTCTTCATTACTTCTATTATATCGTTCAGAATTTAATATTAATTTTTTTGCCAAAGGTAATATCTTTTTCATTCCCTTACAAGTAGAATCTTTGAAATTAGTAAAAAGAATATTAGACAATCCTTCATTCTGTAAATGAGATACTATTTGCTTCTTAAATTTTAAGTCTGCCAAATCAATCTTATTTAACACAAAAATATGTGGTTTTAAACCGGTCAAAGTACGACGAAAATCTGCTTGACGTCCTGAAACTGGTACTCTAGCATCATGTACTTCTATTATACAATCAACATTCTTCAAACGTTGTTCCATTTGCTTTAAACCTTTATCCATATGTCCAGGAAACCATCGTAAAGTTTCTTTGTTAACTAGTTTAAATGTTTCTCGAAAAGTTGTTGCTACTGTACCTCCTATATCCTTCATTTTTGCTCAACTTCTTAATAATCTTCTAACAATATTATGAAAAATATCCTGTAATATAAAATTAGTAAAAAATATTATTCAAAACATGGTTATTTGTCTAAATTAAGTGTTGAATTTTTATAAATTTATAATTTAAATATAAAAATAATATTAATTTAAAATCTAAATGAAAACATAAATATTTATTATTTATTATGCAACCTGGGATAATATTAATATAATATCAATCATAGATTAATAAATAAAAATTTTAAATATCCTACAATATAAACCACGCACGTATTTACATACGTTTTCAGGTTAAATATAATACATAGCTCAGAAGTCCCCTTTTTTACCTATCAGTTTCATTTTTGTTACTACCGGGACCACCAGTGGGCAATAGTAGATATAATACTTAACGCGATGACGGTACAATACTATCAAAGAATACTACAATCGTACACTATTCTTTGATAGTATACGATAGTATATTATATATTCTTTGATAGTATAAATAAAGTATAGTTCTATTTTAATAAAATTTTAAATAAATATATTTAATTTTTAATGTATAAACACACACACACATGTGTGTGCCTTCAGAAATACATTTATACGTATATTTTAAAATGAAGCAATTTAAGACACTCAAATAAAAAAGAATTCAGAAGAAGAATTCATAAATCCAACGATGATCACCTGTAACAAGAAGAAAATTATATTAGTCATACAGACACAAATGATACAATAGCCTGACATATAAATCGTCCAATTCGCAGATGCACTTTTTAATTGAATTCTATATATATATTTTGATTAAATCTCTATTAATCGTTGTAATGAAATTTAATTTAAACGCGCGATTTTACATTTACATAAAATAAATAAAAATAAAGAAATAGAAAAAGTGAAAATACTAAGTTACTAAAAAAAATAATATCTATTAATTATTGTGAAATACTTTTAAACTGCATTATATAGAACAGAAAAATTGTAAATCTAATAAAATACGATTACAGTGAAAAAAAATTTTAAAGACGAAACAAGAAAAAAGAAATTACTGTAATATTTACCGAACGTTATTTAAGCTTGAAAATTTAATAATAGGAAAATTTTAATATTTTTGACTCTAACTATATATGCATCTTTTAGACGATATAGACACGAATTTGGTGTCTTAAGCAGATGGAATGGTCCATCATTTCCAATTACAACTACAAATTAATGACGAGCAAAAAAGTAATATAATAAAATATAAAATATGACTAGAGAGCTATTCTCGAAAAGTTCAAACTTACTGTGTTGAACTTTTGAAAATAACTCACTAGCTCAATAGTAGTTGCACTCTTCAGCCACAATTAAGTGGGGGCCTGACATAATGCCTCTTCTTTCTTCATGCCCTAAACTCTGCTGTGAGGCTTTTTCTAAGCGCATTTTACAATACAAATCGTACAGTTACATTTACTCGAATGCCCCAACAGATATTTGATCTAATCGATGAACCTATTATTAATACTTTGCATTAAAGAAATAAAATAATACGAAACAAGAGCAGAAACTCCTTCCTTCTTTTCGCGGCGTTTGTGCTGGAGATCGCACGGACACTACGTCGTCCTGTTAATCTCAGGTAATTAAAAAATATTTTCTAACGTAAACCATATTCCTATATACTAACAGATTCTTCTAACAAATGACTTCGAAATGATATAATCGAAAGATTACGATAATGTCGAGGATAAAAAATATTTGCGTAGAAAAAAATTCCATGTACTTTGGTATGCATTTTTCTATACAATTATTGTTTTATTTTACGGCATAATTTCTATAGATATCGACTTATAATGATCAATTTTTATTGTCTGGGTTAATAAAGTATATATTTCGACAATTGTTATGTTCCTATATCCTATTTTTAACTATTCGATGTTTTTCTATAATAGATGGAAAAAGTGCAAAATCATCAAGCAGCCATTGTTTGCAGCAGATGTTGCTACGCTTCTTTGCGGAGACTACCGTGCAGTAGCGGCGACCACCATTTTGAATCTGTCAACTGTATATGGTCCAGCGTACTGTATCATCTCGTTTAATCCAGGTAATTGAAAAGTATTTTACACCTTGCTATTATATATCAAACGATATCTACACACAAGATTTTCATACGTGAGTGTTTTCAAAACGAAATAATAAAAAATACAGAAGATATCTGTGAAAATATAATCATCGATGTATCACGGTTTCGCGCAAAATCTTACCAATGTTACTTAACAATATTACTTCTAATATCCAGCTTTTTTCATGATATCAATAATTACTACCATCTCTAATGATTCTCTAATTAATTATTTTTCATAATTATGTCTTTAAGGATCATATTTCGTATATTAAATTCGACTTTTATCACATACACACACATACAGGCATATATACATAAGTATAGGTTGACCCACACTTATATATTTGATTTTCTTTATATTATTTTATACTAATGTAATCTTTTATTGTAGGAAGTTCATTATAGCATTGGATAGTAAAAGAATTGATATAATTGTTAACTTATTTTTCATTGAGTTTACTGTAATAGTTATTGTCTTCTTTAGACAACTTTAAAAATTTGTATTAACAATTTTTATTAACATTACATCCTTTGTATGTAATTTCATACAAGTTGGGAGATTAAAGCAATTAATATTGCTTGAATTTATATTGAATCTTTGTGATAGAATATTTTTTAAAGTGTGTGAAATGCCTTCAGAAATGATTAACAGGGAATATTGTATTATAATATAATCTTTAGTATGTTTCAGC